TCAAGCACAGTGTGGCAGCAGGACTAGGGCAGTGACCATCCCCCTGGACTCAGCACTGGGGAGGTCACACCTCAATGTTGTGCTCAGGTTAGGGCTCACTGCCAAAAGGCCACTGTGTCTGCGTTTTGGCCCTTCAAAATTGTGGTAGTGCTCGTCCTAAAGGAAGGGAAAGCTGGGAAGCACAGTGCACTGCTAGGGAGGTTTCAACTGCAGTGTGCAGGAAATAAAGACCATCCTATTTTTGCAGAGAAACCAGATATTCATAAAGATCACAGAAGACTTTTGGCTCAGTCTGGAGTCCTTCAGTGTGTGATAACAGTGGCTGTGAGATGCTGGAGGCACCATCTCTCTCCTGCCATGAGCAGGGAGGGGATGATGTCAGCCAGACCCCATATTCTCTGCCTTTGAGGTCATAGTTATCATCTCTGGGCAGCACTGAGGGGCTGAGTGTCGTGTGCATTTCTGAGCTCATAGAATCCAAGATCATCAAGTCCAACCTTACCATGGTTGCTAGACCATGGCACTAAGTCTCATCTTAACAACCTTCAGGAACGGTGAATCCACCACCTCCCTGGGCAGCCCATTCCAATGCCTGATTATCCGTAAAAACTTTCTTCCTAATATTCAACCTAAACCTCCCCTGCCAGAGCTTGAGTCTGTGCCCTCTTGTCCTACTGCTGCTTGCCTGGGAGAAGAGACCAACCCCCACCTGACTACATGGGTGTTTGTTTGTCTGTTTGGGATCTTATTACTCAGTACAGTTCAATAAACATAATGGTTTGGTTGGGGTGGATTAGAGGGACTGAGTGGGTAGAACTCAATCAGTGTGAACAAGTTCTTGTATTTGAACAGCTATCATGCCTCCTACCTCTGCTTTTGAAACATCTCACTATCTTTTTCAAGAATTAACTACTCTCTTCTACCAGGGTTGGCAGGTGGGTCCAAATAGGGAAGTATTAAAGGGGATTTTGGAAGGGATATAGGGTAGATAAGAGCCTGAGAATAATGGCAATCCCTTTTCCCCCACTGCTCATTCTCAGCAGGACCTGCTTTCTGATTCTTGTTCTTTGGCCATGTTCAGTGCTGGTTGTTAGAACAGATCAGTAGGAACACGTGTCTTTGGGATTAAGGTCACAGTCAGAACAGGCAGCATCATGGAGACAGGCTGATCACAGAGGCTTTCTGGTAGAAAGAGAGGAAAGGACTCCGAGGTGGTGTATAACCGTTTTGTCAGTACCTGCTGTGCCATACCTGAACTGTAGCCTCTTCTGTGATGGAAGACCTTCCAAAGCAGATAGGGCCTATGACTGGCCACAAAGTCATCCCTCCAGATCTGCTGGCAGGGACAGCAAGCTGTGTGCATGGTCTGCTCCAGCAGTGCAGTGTGTTTGGAGTGTCTTTAGCAATGTCATGTGTGTGCCAAGTCCTGCCAGTAAGCTGGGTTGGTTTGTTACTCAGGTGAGGACATGTAGTTGTGTACTTTATGTCTCCTGTTTAGCTGCCTTGATCAAAACCTAGGATGGATCTAATATTTGGGTGGTGAAAACATACTTGCTTTTCTGATTCATGCTGTAACTCTTGCAAAGGCAGTCTGGTAATGGAGCCCTCAGCTGGCACTGGTCAGGGAGAGCTGTCCTGGTTTCAGCCACCTCAGGGTCCCATCACCTTTTACTTGTTATAAGATAACAACCCGCTCTTATGGACCTCTTCCACTCCTTAGAAATACTTTGCACACTCACAGAAGTTTGTGCCATTTCTAGAAATAGAGAGATGAAACCAGAAACCAGATCTGAGAGATCTTCAGGAGATGAAGAAACCTGTCCCAGCTTATAACAGGTTATTGTTAGCACTGAGTGGGAGCAGAGTCTGGCTCTGATGATAGCTCCCACTTCCATCTGTTGTCATGTCTGTGGAGGCAGCAGCTTCAAAGGACATAAAACCATGAGGAAGAAAGACACCTTTCTCCCTGGGTAAGGCTTTAATAATAGGAAACACCAGGCTTGAAGACTTTACATTGAAGTTTATTATGTGTATAAATTACATAACCAGACGAGAATGACACTCTATCTTCAACAACCATCTCCTGCTTTCAAAAGCCAAAATGATTGGAAAAAGATTTAACAAAGACCTACTAGTGTCATATAAAATGGTCTGTAACTCACAGGAACCATGTGGCTCCACAGAAAAAGTGATCACAGTGTTACCTAGCAGTATAAAAAAATCCGAGCAAACAGAGCTCTGAGGAGCTTTGTATTTCTGACAAAAGACAGATGTCAAAGCTGTGTTTCTGACCCTGTAGGATTTTTGCAGGCACTTTGTGAAGCAACGACAATTCTTGGCCATTGTGTTTAGCCTTTTCTACCCTTAGTTTTTGGTGATAAAGTTAGTCTCTGAGAAGAGCTTACACCAAGCATGGAGGAGACTGCCTGAACCCCCTTACAGCGCCCTGATTTCTGGGGAGAAAAGTCTCCTAATATTAGTGGTAGAGCCAAGATCACAGCACCCAGTCAGGGGGAATTTCTCTCACAAGGACTGGGGAAGGTGGATTAGTTCAGGGTGAAGGAAGGCACGAAGAAAAGGTGAAGGTCCTGCTCTTTCACATGGCAAATAAACCCACAGCAACTGTCATGGCTAGGAAGCTGAGTGCCAGGATCCATCGCACCAGGGAAGTGCTGGGATTCATGTCTGTGTTTCTCCGGTTTGTCCTCTCACTTTCTTTCCCAGGTGCTGGACCTAGATCAAATAGGGAGAAAAAACCAAACAATGAAGGCAAGAGAGAAGAGGTTGAGGCAAGAAGCTGCTCCTATGCTGTGCTTGCTCTCCCCAGTGCCAGAGCAGACCCTGCTGGAGTTGTCAAGGGAAGAAGTAGGAAGTCCAGAGCCTAGGCGGGCTGGGAGAAATACTGGCAACAGGTTCTTCTCTCCTGGGGTAGGTGAAGAAGGGAATCAGCAGACTTGATCTGGGAATCCTAAGGGCTCACAACCCCTCTACCTGTACTTGAGTACCAGCCCCTTCCCTTGTCTCCTTACAGGCTTATAAAAGCACTGCTCAGTTCCATCAAACCCCTGATGTATGCAGAAAACACCCAAATGCTTAAGCCAGAATTTTAAAAGGTATTTTGTCTTCTACTTCTCATTGATTTAATTAATTAGGCATCTAATGACCTTAACAGTCCTCAGCCCTCCAGACAATTTTCTCAGTCCAACTTAAGGATGGGATTCCTCATCCAACACCAAACCTTTCTGAAAATCCTACTTTTGTGAGTGTATTGGGAAAGGAATGGCAAAGTTTCACAGAGAACTTCTAATGCCTTTCCCAAAGAAGTTGCTTTAAGATGCAGTACCTAGAGATGTACAAGGTGAGGTTTGCTTTTCATTCTTTGCCATGAGAAACTGTGGTTCAACCCAGTATGCACTGGAAAAGAAAATCTCCCTTTTAGTGTCAGAATGGGTAGTTCATAAGGTTTTTTATGTGAATCTCATGTCCTCAGGTAAACTTCTGTCCTCTGTAGACATCTGAGCTCACACTCAGTTACAAGCCTAATTTACAAGCTGATTACATTCCACCATCCAGAACAATGCTCACTATAAACCCAGCACACTCTCTGGAGTGTTTTCAGTAAATACTTTTTTGGAAGGCAGAAAAATGACCAAAGGGAGATTTATTCCAGAAGGGCAGGCTGCTGGATAGGACTGTGTCTGGAAGAACTTTTTGTCACCATAATAGCACCACAGCTGATATGCTGGGCCCAAAATTGATGCCTTCTCTTTTGTGAACTCAAGGTCAGTTTTCCCTGTGCTGAATGAACCTTACATTTGTTAAAGTCTAAGAGGAGGAGAGGACAGTCTCTTTTTGTAAAGCTCCCTCACTGACACTTTCTGGAGAGCCCACATGTGTCATCCTTTCTCTGTCATGTCTAGGAGAAGCTTTGCACACACCAGTGCCCCTCCTTGCTGATGGCTGGAGAGGAGATGGGGCAAGAACCTCATGCTTGTTTCTCAGTGACTTTTACAAACAAGATCAGAGGAAGAGAGGAGAAGGAAATGAGGGAACAAAATTAAGCACCTGCCCTTAGAAGTGTCTTACCGTGCTCGTGTGATTTATTAACATTCCTTGTGCGAAGAAGCTCTGCCTTCGGCTGCACAGGGTGACCATTCTCCTGGCCCTTAGACACCAGCTCCTGCAGTGCCTCAAACACCTGAGAAGAAGGAACACTGTCTCATTATGTGGCCTCCTCTTCTTTCAGTGCACCCCTTGCCCATTCCCCAGGCACTTTAGGAAACTGGAGGAAGACACAAGCCTTCAGTCCGGGTCTCCTGGCACATTTTGCATAGAACATAAGCTGCCTGTGAGGTCAAGAGCATGTCTTTCAAACTCCTTGTTCACTTTACAGGTTCTCCCTGAAGCTTCTAGCTTAGGAGAAGCCTAATGCCCATCTTCTGATGGGAAGGAAAGCAAGGTACCTGTGTACCTAGTCAGTGACCACTTAGGACCTGTGGAGCTTTACTACAGAAGTAGGACAGATAGGTGGTGATCCCCACTCCCAGTATCAGCCCTCATTCCTGTCTGAATAGTGACACATGGAAGAGATGGGATTCGGACACTAATGGAGAGAGAAGAGCTTTTCAGAGACCATCCTTTTCCTTGGCTTCCAGGCTGGACAGACGTAGCCATCCACCTCTGCCTAGCTCGCCCTACTTTACAGATTCTCATAAGCTCCCCAGCTGAAATACTAGCTTTGCATTTTCCCTGTAGCTATTTTCATGTTTGAGAGAGGGTGTGGGCTGGCAGAGCTGGATGGTTGTTACTCACCTGTATGTTTAGCAACCCTCTTGGCCCAGGACTCTTTTCTTAGTGGCAGGATCCATCTCGATAGCATTCATGCGGGAGCGATAGAGCTGCTTGAACTTGGTGGCATTGGAGACTCCATCAAAGGAGAAAAAATTCAGCCCTTCTCCAGTGCTGGGCAGCTGGAGGGCCTTTTGGGCAATTTTCTTCAGCACCTGCCCCCCAGACAGGTCTCCCAAATACCGAGTGTAGGCATGGGCCACTTAGTGGCAGGATCCATCTCGATAGCATTCATGCGGGAGCGATAGAGCTGCTTGAACTTGGTGGCATTGGAGACTCCATCAAAGGAGAAAAAATTCAGCCCTTCTCCAGTGCTGGGCAGCTGGAGGGCCTTTTGGGCAATTTTCTTCAGCACCTGCCCCCCAGACAGGTCTCCCAAATACCGAGTGTAGGCATGGGCCACCAGGAGCTCTGGCTGGTTCTTGCCTACATAGTGGAGCCTCTCAGCGTATTTCCGAGTAGCCTCAGGACATGGGATCTCTTCCCTCCAGTTGCTGCCATAGAAGTACTCCAAGTCTTTCTCCAGGGCAGCTTTCCGGTGGAGCTCCGTTGGGAAATACACAGGGGCATAAACTGGATTGTTCTTGTTACGTTCAATCTCTTCCTCCAGAGCAGAGTAGATGAAGTACAAGGATGCTGTCACCAGCTGAAAGAGAAGAAAAAGGATGAGCTACAGGTGCATCTGTCTTTGGGGGACAAATCCTACTAACAAAAAATGGTACTCCTGGACACACCCAATGTGAATCCTGCACATCTGTGATGTTGCAGATATTCCATGTGGAAAACAGTTACAAGGTGCAGGGGGACACTGTTTAGCTCTTCCCCTTCTAATGGAAGCAGCAATCAGGTAAGCCCTTCCCAGCAGATATTGGTCTTACTTGCTCTTAAAGTCACTGCCTTCACCTTCAAGTTAAAGGTCTTGCTGCAATGTAAACTGGAGCCCTGTTAAATCATTCCTTGTCTATTCTTATTCCCTCAGTCAATAGAGAGGATATTCCCAAAGGTGTATTTTCTGGACCATTGTTCAAATTTGAATGCTTCAAAATGTGGCTTCCCTTTGTGGGGCCCTGTGAGACGATGACACAACACCCTGTTTATTTGTACAACATATTCAACTTGTTGGCATCCCAGCATCCTGGGAACTGAGGCACCACCACTCTGCTCATTCAGGCATACAGGTGGGGTAGCTTCCTTGGTTGCCCCAGGGGAACACGATAAAAGGGAGCTGGGAGCACAGCCTGCCTCTGAAAGATGTCTTTGTGAAGGAGTGCTGCGAGGCTGTGTTCTCTCCTCTGTTTTGAAACCATTGTTATTGTTGTTTTTCCCAGCTTATGTGATACTTTATTCTATCTGCCAGCTTTTCCACGTGGTCTAAGACAATCTAGCTGTGTTCTTTCCTTCCCCAGGCATTCTGTTTTCAGAGGCTCTTAGAGCTACACCATCCCTTCCTTACATTGGGATCCCTTATCAGCAGCAAAGGGTAAAAGATGAAGGTATTGCAGCACAGGTGAGTCAGGTTTGGGTAGGGGGGATTACGCTGCTCACAGGAGAGAAAGCAGTTTACTCTCTTCAAAAAGCACTCAATTCTGCACTGAAAGAGTTGCCATTTCAACTTTTCCCCACTGTGCCAGCAAAGAGGACTTTGATAAGCACACAGGCAGTGACTTAGTTGTGGAAACAAATACTCACCATCTGGAGAGTCACAAAGCAGGGCAGATATATAGGTTTGCCAAGAGAGTAAATAAAAATAGAGATTTTTAAACAATAACCTGTTAACCCAGCTTACTGGAAAAGAAACAAGATATGGGAATATTGCCTAACAAAGTAAGAAAATAGAGCCAGACTGGTTGTTTCCAGAGGCAGGCAGTGGCTTAATGGAAAAAGAGGCTTTGGAAAATTGTTGTTAATTTTTAAAACCCATGTCACATCTCACCCACCAACAGTACGTAAAGATCTTCTAAGAAACCAAGGTGTACTCCTGAAGGCCTGACTTCTTACACTATTGCCAGCCTGTCTCAAAGTTCACTGCCTAACCAGTGCCACGTTTCTATCAGCAGGGAGTCAGCATCTGAGATTAAATTTGTGCTTGACTAGGTATTCTGAATGTCACCTGTCAGAAATAAATTGTCTTTTTCCTACACTTGTGGATTTGTTTGCCAAGGAACAATTCAATAACAAAGTAATTAAGCCACAGGTTGGATCACTAGCTGTTACTTGCAAGCCCATGCGTCACATCCTATAGCCTCTCAGGAATTTTCAGCCCAGGTGTTTGCTTTGTTTTTGCTCATGGCTTTGTTACATGGCTCAGATCCCAGGGATCATATCTAGCCAGGTTAGGCTAATACGTGGAAATGTTTCTCTTTTATCTTGAAAGAAGCAACAGGCTCCTGCCTGTTAGCAGCAGACATGGATTTCTCAAACTCAGCCTGCTTTTGAGTTATTGTTCACAATCTCAGTTCTGGTATAACTCAAGTGACAATGCAAAGTTCAGTGCCACAGATGATTCCACATTCTCACTTTCTCACCATTTCATCATTATTTCTAGCTGTATCTGCTTAGAGTGTTGTAAACATAGTATTCTTCCTCTTTTTGACATTTCAGCTGTGCGAGTATCTGCACATAGTTATACCTCCCTTAACTATCTGGCAATAATTAACATGCAGGGATTTATGAAGCAAAAGAAAAGCAGTTGCATTAATCCCATTAACCTTTGTCTTCTTCCTCCTGTTTCAGCTTGGCTGCCTGTCCTGATATGCACAGTCCTGCCTGCCTTCTGCAAGAGGAGCCAGTAAAATCTCAGGGTGCTGGAATATGCTGAAAAGCATGTTTTGCACAGGAGATGCTGATACCAGACAGCTGTACTGCCCCATCCTCTTTACCTGTACTATCCCCATCTTTAGACTCCACACAGCCTGCCTGCTCGAAACTGGTGAGGAAATCCCATCCCCAAGCAATGCTGCTATGAAGTACCTTAAACTCCTGGAGTGACACCTGTCCCCTCTGGAAATTCTTCATGAACGGTGTGTTCTCTGCCTGCTCGTGCACCTCCTTGGTAGCTTCTTTCAGCAGTTCTGACAGGTCCTTGGACATGCTTGGGAAGAACAGCATAACAGGTATTAGTGCTGTCTCTCTCCTCTGGTAAAATGCGACTTAGCTCTCTAGGGAAAAAAAAAGGGGGAGCCTGGGATGGCAGAAAAAGCAGCACAGCATTCCCGAGAGCTGTGGATGGGAACTGGGGAGCACCAGCTTTCCAAATGCTGTCCTGAGCGAGGAAGACTGACAGACTCCATTCAGACGTGCAAGCAGCATCATGTTGTTCCCTGCAGAGCAGGAAGAGGAACAGCACGTCTGAAAGCAAGGGGAGAAGCACTGCCGGCAAAACGTTTCCCTCTCCTTCCCGTCCTGCTCTTACCTTTCGGAGCTGTGTGTCTGGGAAGTTTCCATCTTTCCCCACGTTGTTTCACTCCTCCACTTCCCTGCGGCTGCTCCTGCTCGTTGCCTTCTGCTCCCCGAACAGTGGAGCTGTGAGCTGGGCAGCCTGGCTTTATACAGCCCGGCCACGTGAGCAGCCAAACTGCTGACTTCAGTGAGCACTAACTTGCAACACAGCAGCGCTTCCCTTCCCAGCCTGGCTGTCTTCCTCTCGTTGCCAGCAGCCCCAAGGAACCAGAAGGAAGTCACCTGACGCATCTTGATAACTAAGCAAAAACGAGAGGGTGTCCAGAAACTTCTCCTTCAGGGCTGCCTGGCTGTGTAACCCTTTCAGTGCAGTGCCCATGGCAGGCAGAGCCTGCATCCTGCAAGAGATGCTCGTTGTGCTGGGGGCAGTGGGGTTGGACAAGGAAGGTGGATGTACAGGGCTAGTGCCTGGGGCAGGGAGAGCAGCCTCCTCACCCTGCACCCCAGTCTGTGTCCTGGCTGCACCCTGCCTGGTGAGCTAATCCACCACCCACCCTCATCTGCTCTAGCATAACTCAGGTATAAACATCTTATTTCCAACAGCTGTGCACGTCTTTAGAGAGCCTTTCAGGTACCACAGAGCTTGTGGGCCATAGGATGGGGAGCTCAGCACTGTAGGTTAGGAGTGTACCCCTTCACGGCAGGGAGCACAGCAGAGACCCTGGGAAACGTACCAGTTGTGGGTACCTGGGGTAATCCTGCTGCTGTGGCACATGCATGTACCAGCTCTGATCTGCAGACACCAGAACTGCCCTTGCACAGTGCTGGGCACTGGGGAATAAGCCCTGTCACTTTGCACAGAGCCAGCACAGGTGTACCAGCACTGATGCACAGCAAAATCCTTTCCATGCTCTCTTGCACATGGAAACAATACCATCTGATTTGTGTGGCAGCTGGTTCCTGTCCTCACCACAGCAGCGTGCAAGGCAGTTTAGGAGAATAGCACTCCATCTGCTAGATACCCAGAAGGTTGGGGTAGCTGGTGAGCTGAAAAGATGTCAGATAAGACTGGGGGGAAACTGAGGAAGTATGCAGAGACTTTCAAAGGCAAACAACTTGTCTGATTTGGGAAAAGAGAGTTGGAAGGTGCTTCTGCCAGTAGCTGTCTGCTCTGCTGTTCTTTTCTGATAAAGTGGTCAATGAAGCAGCTAACAGGTGAAGCTGGGCCCTTCTTTTCCACCTGTAGCTATGCTGAAAGCAGGGCTAGCCAGGACAGGTGATGCACTGGCTAGCTGTACTTTGGACAAGCACACATTTTGTGCTCAACCCAAAGAGCAGGACACTTAAAGCCACCACTCCTCAGCTTCTGTGGACATGAGAAAGTCCCTGGTACAGTCATGCAGAGGCAGAGCCTGGGGTGGAGGGAGAAGGACTTTGGCACATGCTGTCCATCTGCCTTCCATCTGCCCTCTCCAGCCAGTCCTCTCTCAGGCTTTGCTGGTGGATGCTGCTGTCCATGCCACCTCACCTGTCTCCCTGTCACTGCACCTACACCAGGCCACAGCAGGGCTGGGTGTTGTAGGTTAGAAAGCTGTCCTGGAGAAAATATGCTTCCATGCTTGTTTTTCAACTTGGGCAGACATCTGTTATGCAGCACTCAGGAAGGATTACTCAGCGCTTCCATCCTGACAAAGCCAGACTTTTCCTGTCTTGCTTTTGTCTTTTAAAGCAACAGTACATGCTAGCAAAAGCTGTCACGTTCCACTCTTACCCCATGACATTGCAGGCTTGCTTGTTTTTAAATAAATGTAAAATAAATGGTAAAGGCAAAATAAATAAAGCAGGATGTCTGAATCTTAGAAGCAGGTGTGACAAAGCCACAGACATTCCCGGGGAGAAGGCTCTTGTATGGAGTCCGTGGGAGTGTAAAGTGGCATAGCCAGTCTGTCCTGAAAACACTGATGCCATTTTGCCATAGGGATGGCCCCAAAATGAGTATTTCCCTCTGGCATAACTCCTTAAAGCTCACATGTTTTGTCCTTTTCAGTGAGTCCTGTTCTGATGTGGGAAACTGGAGCACAAATTGAACCTGTAGTTCCAGTGAAGTAGAAAAATGTATGAGGATTATATGAGAATAATAATTATATTATGAGAATATATTATTCATTTTATGAAATAATATGAAAAAAAATCCAAGCCCTGCTACTCCTTTCACCTTTGTTCTGCAGCTCTGGTAATGCACCCAGTTCCTTCCCAATGACTTTCTGGGTGTTTTCAGGCCAGTGTTCTTGTCCCTTGCCTGCCCACCTCCTTCCAAGGGGCTGCATGCTTGGGGGTCCTATAAAGGATGTCTCCTTCTCCCTTTCATCCAGGATTATGGTAGATGTGAATGAGACTGGGGAGAAGAGAGGGTGTCTACTCATGTCATTAACATTCCAGGTTGGTTTCCTGGCTTTCCGTACTGCCCCAGGACACGGAGCCGATGTACCTCCTCTGGACCTTGGGGCTTTATCTTCCCCTGGGCTGGTCACAAGAGATGCAACTCACCTCTGCCATAAGCTTTTCCTAAGGTGCAGGCAAGCAAGCCCTGCTCCATAACTGATTTATGCTATCTGATCTCCCCCTGATCACAGTTTCTTGGGATGGAGCAGCTGTGAGACTGAGATCTGGCTCTCTGGAAAGGCCAAAATGCTCTGTGGCAAGATGGAAGGAGAACTGAAAGTAGGGTGTCATCATCTTTGCAGTTGCTGGCCTGGAGCATTTCTGACACCATCCAGTACTCTGCAGTGGGGACTTGTATTGCTTCTGCTGTGCTGTTGCTTTGTGGTGTGGGGAAGGTCAGTGACACTGACCGATATGCTGGCAGGGATTTGTGAGGGACCATCTCTTGCTCAAAGAGAACTTTGGAAGTCAACACTTGAGAGCAATGAATGGGGAAGTAGGTGGATGTTTTGAGTGGAAGGAACAATCTGGCTCCAAGAGCATAGTGGGCCATGGGACAGCAGAGGCCAGTCCACATCCAGGTCATTAGGAGATTCTGCTTGAATGTAATTGAAGTGTCAGAGCTGTGGTCTCCACCATGCCTGGCAGAAATCCTGTTGTCTCCTACTCTTCCAGTGAGCCATGTCTGGATGATGCCAGAGCAACTTGCTGTGAGGGCACCAGTGAAACTGTCCAGGAGATTTCTAGTGAAGATGAATAAAGTAGCCTCAGGCTACTTGTAGCAATTCTTGCTGGGCTTAAAAGTGTCCATCTGCACATCCCACCCCTGAGAAAATCTTTAATCAAAAGATAGTAGACGAATGCTTAACAACAGAAAGTTATCGAGACGTGTTTCCATCTGGGATAGAGAAGTGGAGAATTTTCTCCTCTTTATACATTAAACAGCCTGTTCTGCCAGTAAATCTATGGTCAGAAATGTCTAGTTACACAGGCAGTCACGGGGTGCAAAGTCAGCTCTCCAGAGTCCCTTGTGGTTTAGCACTGATACATGCTGGCCTCTGGCAGGCAGCTCCCAGCAGTTCAGCTCAGCTCCACTTGGCTTCCACGAGGAAAGCCAGCCCTTGCCAGCTCAGAGAGGTTAACAGCCTCTCTCAAACTGTGACACAGCAAAATGCAGCTGTCTGGCTTGCACTTGGAAAGCTGACTCAGTAACTAGGATTTGCTGTGTAATGGCAGAGGGGAAAAAATGTTGTAATAACTGCTTAAAATTACTTGCTGGAGAAGGGCCACCCTTCTGGGATTGCTGGAGTATACAGGAATATTCTGTGAGTTTATTCATGTTTACCAAAGGGAGATTGCCTGTCCCAGCCCTGCCCTGGCAGAACTGACTGTGCTCATCGCTGTCAGCAGCCAACAAACCTGGTGTAGGTCAAAGTTACAGGTGAAAAAAAGGAGGTCAGCAGTCCAGTGCACTGGTAATCCCCATGGGCAGTGCAGGCATCGCAGCTGCCCATGGGGCTGGCACTGCTGGTACCTTTGGAGGGTCCTAGAGACAAGCCTGTCTGTGCTGGGCAAACCCCACACACAGGAGCACTTTGGAGACGTGGTGGGAGATGGAGGTGCAGGAAGATATCTCAGGATAAGTGAACCAGCTTGACAAAAATAGGAAGTGCAAATTACAATACATATTTTTATAGATGTATGAATACATGGATGCTGCAGCACATGGGTGTCTCCAGCACATGGCTGTGAGCAAGGAGAGAGCTCTGGGCTGTCTGAAAACAGAGCAGGGAGAAAGAGGGAGAGCAGAGCAAGCACCCTGCAAGGCATGTGCCTGACCAGAGTCAGGCATTGACCTAAAGCATGCAGGAGGTCTCCAGGCTACAGGAACACTGGGATGAAATTCTGGGGGAGGATGCATAGAGCCCACCATGCTTAGAGTTTTGGTGGTCATGGGGATTAACCCTGTGCCATGCTGGGGATATGCTTTGGGAGCCAAAGGCAGGTGTGGGAGGGAGCACAATGGAGTTAGTGAGTAAAAATCCCGTTTGTGTAAATGTTTCAGTCCGTGCTGCCTCCTTTGTTTCAGTGCTAAATGTAAAGTGTAAAATGAAAGTGTGCCCTGAACAAACTGTGAAAATTTGGGTTTGAAAATCACACATATGCAACAAGGAGGATTGTACTACGCTGCTAACAGCCCTTTCTCAGGAGAGAACTGGGGCTGGGTGCCAAGTTTTGCACAGGATGTGAGACCCAGACCCAACCCTGCCAAGGTTTCTGAACCACCCTGTGTGATTCCCTGCCCCTGGGTATGGGAGACATGTGGGCAGCCAGGGCTGTTTCTGGAGAGTTCTCCAATGGTCCCGAGAAGTGGGACAGGGGCCAAGAACAGCAGCTGCAATCTCAGGACGGCACACAGGAACAGCCCTGCAATAAACAGCCTCACATGGACCCTGCTCCAGCGTGACTCAGCAGAAGAGCCTCAGCCTGAAACCTTTACTCAGCAACACGTGGTGACCTGGTCTGACCCTGACTCAGCAGGACGCCCACGCTGGGGGAAGGGTGAGTCAGCATTAGCGGGAGCAGGCTGCGGGTTTGGGGGT